CTGTCGAGCTGACGGGGCCGGAGGTTCCCAACAAGACGGTCTTACCCCGCAGCGCGGTAACAAACGATAAGGTCATGACCGTGTCCGGAGACAACCGTCTTGCCCTTGTGGACGCGCAAATTGCCTATCACCATGAAGACTTTGTTGTCCTCAAGGCTCCACTCGCGACAGGCACCAGAGTGATCGTGAGCGACCTTTCACCTGCAATCGAGGGCATGCTGCTGGAACCAATCAAAGACGATGCTGCGCTCCGGAACCTTTCGTTGGCAATAGGTAATGTACCTGGGGGAGAGAGCGGCTCGTGATGGTTCGGTATTTCGTTCAGCACTCGACGGCGGCCAATCTTCTGATGGCGCTTCTTATGGGCCTCGGATTGCTCTATATACCCTCCCTGTTGATGGAGACGTTGCCACAGGTTCCTCTCAAGGAAGTGTCGGTAAAGGTCGGCTTTCCAAGCGCTACGGCTGGCGACGTCGAGCGGTCAGTCTGCTACCCTATCGAGGAAGCGCTCGAGGGGGTCGAGAACATCAATGAACTCAGATGCGTTTCCAGGGAAAACCTGGCACAGGCAACGATCCGCATGACGGAAGGAGCCGACATCGATCAAATGATGCTGGATATCACGCAGGAAATCGACGCAATTTCAGACTTCCCGGACGGAGTCGAGGATCCTGTCATCGAAAAGGCCGGGCGCCAAAGCCGGGCCACCTCGATAGTGATTACCGGAATTGACGACAAGGTCCAACTCAAGAATTATGCAGAGACTGTCAAGGATCGCATGCTCGGTTTCGGAGGCATACCCCAAGTTGCCGTCGCCGGCTTTTCGGCCCGCCAAATTCGCATCGAAGTCCGCGATATCGCCGCTCGGCAACTCGGACTGACGCTGCCAGAAATAGCCAGTGCGCTAAAGCGCCAGAATATTAATGTTCCTGCTGGCGAGATTTCGACCGGGAATGGCTCGATTCTTCTGCGGTTTTCCGACGAAAGGCGTGCGATTGACGCCTATTCCTCCATCATTATCACGTCGTCTGCCCAGGGCGGTCAGATCAGGCTCGGGGACGTAGCCACCATTACGGATACGTTCGAAACCGAGGAGATAGAAACAAGGCACAATGGCGGCCTTGCCGCTGTCCTTGATGTTTCAAAGAGCCGCTCGGACGACCTTATCCAGGTGGTCGATCGCGTGAAAGCCTTTGCCCACGAGGAACGACTACGCGCTGCACCCGGAGTAGAGCTGACGGTCGTGAACGACGGATCAGTCGCCTTGAAAGATCGGCTTCAAATGTTAACGGGCAACAGCCTTCAGGGACTTTTGCTGGTGGTTATCGTCATGTGGGTCTTTTTTGGTGGGCGACAGGCTTTCTGGATCGGCATGGGTCTGCCTGTTTCCTTCCTTGGGGCGCTTGCGTTCATGGCGATGCTCGGCATCTCCATAAACATGCTTTCGATGGCCGCGCTGCTTGTCGTGGTCGGCATCATTATGGATGACGCCATCGTGATATCCGAGAACATCGCGAGCAAACGGTTTCAGGGACTTTCCCCGAGAGAAGCTGCAATACAAGGCACACTGCAGGTCGCGCCTGGCGTTGTTTCCTCCTTCCTGACGACCGCCGCGATTTTCGGCTCTCTTGCCTTTCTCAGCGGTGATCTGGGTGACATACTCAGGATAATTCCCATTGTGATGTTGCTGGTGCTGGCGGTTTCACTTCTGGAGGCCTTTCTGATCCTTCCGAACCACCTGTCGCATTGTGCTGCGGGAGCGCAAATCAATCCGGTCACCCGACGCGCGGAAACGCTTCTTCGCTGGCTTCTCGACAAAGTGATCGATCCCGGCGCGAGATGGTCCGTGCGCAACCGGTACTTTTCGCTCAGCTTGTGCCTGATGCTCTTCCTGGGAACCCTCTCTCTTTTTGTTGGCGGGACCATCAAATTCCAATCTTTCCCGAACATTCAGGGCAATCAGCTTGAGGCCAGAATTGAACTTCCCGCGAGCGCAGTGTTGGCGGATACGCGGCGCGTCACAGCAGAAGTTGTCTCCGCGCTCAAACGTATGGACTCGGCGCTAGCGCCAAGCGAGGCGGACACCCCGTCCCTTCTCAGGAATGTACTCGTTCGTTTCAACGAAAACAGCGATGCCGGTACCACTGGTGCCCATCTGGCAACAGTCAGTGTCGATCTTGTCGAAGGTTCGTTGAGAAACGTCAGTAACCAAAAGATCCTGAAGGTCTGGCAAAAAGAAATTCCCGCAACTCTTGACGTGCGCAGGATCGTTATCACTGAGGCAGCCGTCGGACCAGCTGGCCGAGCGATCGAGTTGCAACTTTCCCACCCAGACACTCTGCTTCTAGACCAGGCGTCGGAAGAGTTGCAGGCATGGCTCAAGAACTACGAAGGCGTCTACAACATTTCCGACGACTTGGCGCTCGGCAAGCCGGAACTCGCAATCTCGCTCAGGGACAGCGCCGGCGCGGTTGGTCTTGATGGACAGGCAATCGCCGACCAGCTTGCTGGCGCCTACAGCGGTATCGTCGCAGACGAAGTTCAAATCGGGACAGAGAGACTAGAGATAGATCTGCGTCTGGCAATGGCGGATCGCGACAGTTACGGCGACCTTAGTGCCTTCACCGTCGAAACGCCGACCGGCGACAGGGTACCCCTTGGAACTCTTGTCACACTCAATTCAGAACGCGGTTTTGCGCGCGTCAACCGAATTGACCGCCGGCCTTCGGTAACAATCACTGGGGATGTATCGCTCGATGTGGCCAATGCCAACGAGATTGTCCTGGATACAGAAACCCGCTTCATTCCAGGTCTTCTGGACTCCTATCCCGGTTTGCAGGCTCGCACGGCGGGACAAAGCTCAAAAGGTGCTGAAACCTTGGTCTCGATGGGCAAAACGATCGGCATGGGTTTCGTGTTCGTCTTTATCCTGCTCAGTTTCCAGTTCCGCAGTTATGCAGAACCCATCGTGGTCATGTCGCTCATTCCCTTTGCCCTTTCCGGTGCGGTCCTCGGTCATTTGCTGCTTGGAATCGACTTTTCACTGCCAAGCATGCTCGGTTTTGTTTCTCTGTCCGGGATCGTCGTGAACGATTCCATTCTTATGGTCCAGTTTATCAAGAACGAGCATTCGCCGGATATGGACAGCATTGCAGAAATCGCACATTTGGGAGTGAAGCGGCGGTTCCGCGCGATTTTTCTTACGTCCCTGACGACCACGGTCGGAATGCTTCCGCTTCTATTCGAGACCAGTCCCCAAGCCCAGGTTCTCGTTCCACTAGTGACCTCTATTGCGTTCGGACTGATTGCGACAACACTTTTGATCGTGTTCATCGTGCCGGCATTTTACACGATACTCGACGATTTTGGCTTCACGTCTCTGGCAGCAGAGCGGAAAGACAGAGCACGCCTTCTCGCCCTAAGCTGAATTGTTTCAACATGCAGGACCGCAGTCGCGTACGTTCTGGCCAATAGATCGCTGTAAATTCCAGGGTGTCATTTTCCACTCTGTTATCGCTACTCAAAGGAGAAATCATGCGCATTCCACTGTTGCTCAGCGCCTTGACGCTGGCAGTCACCCCGGCAATGTCGGATACGATAGAGGCGCGCCTTGGCACGACAGAATTCCACGACGCCTCGATTGCGCACGCGCCCGACGACGGCGTTGTTCGCCTGTTTGGTGCCGGCGGACCTCATACGGCAATCGCAAAAGTCGCCGAAGTCTGGGAGGGCAAAACTGGAAACCGCGTGGTGATAACCGCAGGTCCGGAACACCGCTGGACCTCGGATGCCCAAGAGAGCGCCGACATCCTTTGGGGCACCTCACAACAGTCGATGGCTGCCTTCCTGTTGACCTACACCAGTTTCAAACTGGACGACGCGGAACCAATCTACCTTCGCCCGACGGTTATTGCGGTGCGGGCAGGCAACCCCAAAGGGATCCGGGGTTTCGATGACCTGCTCGCAGAGGGCGTCCGCATCGTTGTTACGGAAGGTGCCGGCGTTTACAACACTTCCGGCACCGGACTTTGGGAGGATGTTGCAGGACGCCTTGGCAGTCTACAGGACTTGCGCAAGTTCAAAGGCAACATAGTTTCCTATGCGCTTGGCTCTGGCGCCAGCTATCGAGAATTTGAACGCAGTAATGTGGATGCCTGGATTACCTGGCCAAACTGGCCGACCGTGAAAGATGATCTGGAAATGGTCAAACTCGAACCGCACCGTACCGTCTACAGAGACCTGAGTGTCGTGCTGTCATCGAAAGCAGATCCCGAAGCGAAGCAGTTTCTGGATTTTCTTGTATCCGCAGAGGCCCAGTACATCATGGCCTCAGAAGGCTGGGAGCGCTGATTTCAGAGCGCACCAGCGATCAGCCCGCGGGTATTCCAGAAGCAGAATTTCGGACACTTAGGCTGCTGTAGCTGATTTGAACTATTTACTACGAGGCTCTTCTCGTTTTGGTGCCAGGTTGGAAACACGAGGAAGGCGGATGAAGAATTCCAGATTTGCAGGGCAGCAGATCGCGGTCGTTTTCTGACAGGTTGATGACGATTTCACCGGCGCGGAACTTTGCCGAAAGGCCGGTGTATCGCAGCAGTCTTACTGGCGATCACGCAAGAAATATGGTGGTTTGGTAATCATCCCCGAAAACCACTGGGTTGAAAATTGGACTTCTCCGGCCTTTGATGCGCTTGGAGAACGAGATGAAGAAATCAAGATTTTCAGAGAGCCAGATCCTGGCAATTTTGAAACAAGGTGAGAGCGGTGTGCCGGTTACTGACCTATGCCGGGAGCACGGGATCAGCAACGCGACCTACTACAACTGGCGTTCCAAATATGGCGGCATGGATGCTTCGTTGATGTCTGAGATGAAGGCAATGGCCGAGGAAAACCGGCGCCTGAAGAAGATGTACGCCGAGATGGCAATGCAGAACGAGCTGCTGAAGGACGTGCTTGGAAAAAAGCCTTGAGGCCGTCTCAACGTAGAGAGCCTCTCGGCGATGCAAGCATCGCCTGCCGACCAATGGATGGCCATCAGTGCAGTTCGGCTGCGTGGCGTGAGCATTGCGCTTGCATGCCGGGCGTTTCAGGTCAGCGAAAGCTGCTATCGCTATGAACGTAAGTTAAGCGATGAGAATGTTGAGATCGCGGACTGGCTGGTCCGACTGACGACAGCGCACAGAACCTGGGGCTTCGGCTTGTGTTTCCTTTATCTGCGCAATGTCAAAGGCTTTGCATGGAACCACAAGCGTGTCCGGCGGATCTATCGTGCGCTTGAACTGAACTTGCGCATCAAACCCAAGAAGCGCTTGGTGCGGGAAAAGCCGGAGCCGTTGGCTGTACCCGACAAGGCAAATGTCACTTGGTCGATGGACTTCATGTCTGATCAGTTGGCCGATGGCCGTAGCTTCAGGACATTGAACGTGTTGGACGACTTCAACCGTGAAGGGTTGGGCATCGAAGTAGACATCTCCATTCCTGCCCTTCGTGTCATACGCTCGCTGGAGCGGATCATCGAATGGCGCGGCCAGCCCTTGAACATCCGGGTGGACAACGGCCCGGAAAACGTCAGTGCTGCGCTGCAAATATGGGCCTCGAGACGCGGGATCGGTTTGCAGTACATCCAGCCCGGCAAGCCGCAACAGAACGCCTATGTCGAACGCTATAACCGGATCGTCCGCCATGAATGGCTAGGACAATACATATTCGAAACCATCGAGGAGGCGCAGGACCACGCCACACGCTGGCTATGGACATACAACAACGAGCGGCCCAACATGGCCATCGGCGGCATTACGCCCGCAATGAAACTGAAAGCAGCGGCCTGAAGTCCAGTTTTGAAACCCACGAAAAATGGGATGATTACCGTTTGATGCCGTCCAAGATGACGCGGTTACTGTCCCGCGGACCAATATAACAATCAACCCTGCCGAAATAAACTTTTGGAAGATACAAATGTCATTTGTGCCTCCCGAAGGCGTAGAAATGCAGGCAGTTTCAGATCGTACCCAGGACCACAGAGCGTAAATTAACGCGGGACAGGAATTTACGCGCCTCCACCACCTTCTAAAGTGGATAAAGCAAAGCCTTGATAAACAGTCGCATACATGTTCCGCAGTGCCGGTTGATACAAGAGTGTTTGGTTTTCATGCAGAACCGCACAATAACTGAAACAGCCGATTTGGTTTCCTTGAAGATGAAAGAGGCGAGTGCGGTGGAGGGGCAACGCACTCGCCTAATTTTCAATCGAATCCACTTGGGAACTTGAATTCAATTGATAGGAACACAATCGCATCAGAACTGTGCTCCCAATCGACTTGAAAAAAAACTTGTCGATGATTCCTACATAGCAACCAAACCGCACGATATGGTGTGTCGATCGACACTTGTTAGCGCGCGACTGGAACTGCGCTCTGTTTATCGGAAAGATTTTGATTCAAAGAGTGAGCGACGCTACCTGATTGGTTCAGGTCATATTAAATTTAGACTTGATCTGACATACCGGTTCTCAAGTTGAGGGGTACTGTCATTTTTGTTTGCAACCAACAATCATCTCAAGCCCGACAGGCCCCCCATGTAGGAGAGTAACTAACGAATCTGAACCGATCATATACGGGCCTTAACAGGCTCGCACACTACGATTCTGCAACAAGTTCCATAACAGACCGATCCTTGAACAACGCTGGCAAACAAAGGGGGACAGTCGGAGGAGAAGACACGTGGTCCGTTTCAAGTCGTGTAGCAGGCCACCGAGTGTCAGCTCCTTGGCCGTATCTTCGTCAACCTGGATGATCGTGCGCCCGCTGGTTTCTGTCAACCGCACGGCTTCCTGCTTGATTTCTACCGTGAATGTCCGTTTTTTGTGTTTGCCCATCGGGTCCTCCTGTCACCTCCTGCGTTACCAGAAAGTCCCTCCTTTTTTCGCGGGCAAGTCCAGAGTGTTCGACCTAAACTTGGGGCTCTGCAGAAAGAAGAATGCAGGCGTTCGTCGACATATTCATACGTTTTCGTCATCAATAGATTTTTTTCGTGCAATCGGTCTCCTGTGTGTTATGCGGCACAGGGGCCTGCCTTTCACTTGACTAAGAAATACTCAGTTGCTTGCGGTGAAAAAGAAGAACCAGAAATGGCCTCCTAAGACTGCATTCAACCGCTCCCCTATTAGTTTCGCTTTTGAAACACCCCGCTCCTTGTGAGCGGGTTTTTTTGCCAATTGAATAGATGGAGTGGTTGAGACTGACCTGAGACCCTGAAACTCCTCCAGTTTTGTGTAGAGTCCGTTCCAATCAGGAGACGGACGGAATGAAGCGTTCACGGTTCACGGAAGAACAGATCATCGGCATGTTGCGTGAGCAGGAAGCCGGGATGAAGACGGCAGATGTCTGCCGCAAGCATGGCATCTCTGAAGCCACCTTTTATAAATACAAGGCCAAGTTTGGCGGTATGGATGTATCTGATACCCGCAAGTTGAAGTCGCTGGAAGACGAGAACGCGAGGCTCAAGAAGCTCCTGGCGGAAGCTATGCTCGACAACGCCATGCTGAAGGATGTTGCTTCAAAAAAATGGTAACGCCCGATGCAAGGCGAAGTGCTGTGGCTCACCTGTGCACAGGACACGGCGTGAGCCAGCGTCGGGCGTGTGCTGTTTTGCAGGTTGATCGGTCGAGTGTTCGGTATCGAAGCCTTCGTCCTGATGATGGCGATCTGCGTGAAGCCATGAAGAAGGTTGCCGGAGAACGCCGGCGCTTCGGCTACAGGCGCATTCACCTGATGCTGGAGCGTCAGGGTATCCGCATGAACCAGAAGAAGCTTCGGCGCCTTTATCGCGAGGAAAAGCTTCAAGTCCGCAAACGTGGCGGCCGGAAGCGAGCTTTGGGCACTAGACGGCCGATGGTGTTGCCAGGCAGACCAAACGAGCGGTGGAGCCTGGACTTCGTGTCGGATGCCTTTACGGACGGCCGCCGTTTCCGGGTTCTGGCGGTGGTCGATGACTACAGTCGCGAGTGCTTGGCACTGGTGGCTGATACGTCGTTATCCGGCTTGCGGGTCACCCGTGAACTTGATGCGCTCCTTCGTCTGCGTGGTAAACCGGCCACTGTGGTCTCAGACAACGGAACCGAACTGACCAGCATGGCCGTTCTCAAATGGTGTCAGGAGACCGGTGTCGACTGGCATTACATCCAGCCCGGCAAGCCGATGCAGAACGGCTTCGTCGAGAGCTTCAACGGCAGCTTCAGGGATGAGTGTCTCAACGAGACACTGTTCACATCACTCTCAGAAGCCCGATCCCAAATCACTGCGTGGAAGGAGGACTACAACCAAAACAGACCCCACTCATCCCTGGGCAATCTCACTCCCTGCGAATTCGCATTGAAAATGATATTGCAAACACAGGCCGCATGAGGCCAAAAATCAACATAAAGACTCCGCGCCAAACCGGAAGAAACTAGGGTCGCAGGTCAAGACCTTTTCACAAAACTGATGCCAGTAGCGATTTGATTTTAAAGCATTTTGCGCTTAACAGGAGGCAAATCCTGCAGCTTTGAGGAAGTATCTGCGTTCTTCCGACGCGAAGAAGTGGCAAGTGTCGTTGAGTTTATCTATCAGTGTGTCGAATGCTCGAGCGCAGCACGCCTGAGGTGGGTTTTGAGCTTGGCGGAGGTCATTTCGAGATGGGGCTGGGAGGGAACAGAAACCAGCAGCCGCGCTATATGAGGTCTGCGTACGTGGCCATAACCTCAAAGCAGCGCATATGCCCGACGTGCCAAGGCCGGGAGTTCGGTGGCCTGTCCGGCACCCTTACGAAATGTTCCGGCGACTGGAGGAGATTAAGCATGGCATCCCCTACGCGTTCTGTTGGAGGTTCGTCGGGTCAAGTCCAATTGGTGGAGAAGAAGGCGAGCATGACCAATGAGACGATGATCAGGATCAATCTGGCCTGGAATGTATTCAGGTTCGCGGAGATCCCATATCCGGCCAGATAAAGTTCAGACGGAAGCTGATACGGCGGAATTTTCGCAGTTTCTTGGCTGACCTGGTTCCGGCGAAAATCGTGATGAAGGTATGCGGCAGCGCTCACTACTGGGTGCGCGAGATGGCCGAACTGGGTCACAAAGTAAGATTAATCTAACCTCAGTACGTGCGACCTTTCGTGAAGCGGCAAAAGTGCGTTGTAGCAGATGCCGAAACAATAGTTATCGCCGCTTAGCGCTCAGAGATGCATTTCCTCACCCCGAAGGGCGAGGATCAGCATGCGCAGTCTCTTCTTTTTCGAGTAAGAGAGCGGCTTGTGCATCGGCGAACTAGACTTCCCGCGAAAAATGGAGGGGTGTTGGCATCCACTATTGATTGGCTTCAGCCCTCAAAATCAGCAACCCACTGTTCAAAGAGCATTTCAAATCAACTCTTAAGCTCCAGACTTTGATTGCATTTTTCAATCTTTAGAAGGTGTATGAGGTAATGAGGAGTGATGCAGATTGATTTTAAGATCTCCCTCATCGCCTCTGATGTATCCGAAAGAATACTCCGCCTTTGTTACACTGCCATCCTTAGCGGTAAAATAATAATTCCCCATTGCCATTGCAGTATCTTCAGTCGTAAAGATACCAATGCTTTCCCAATGCACAGCGATCCAGCTTTTGATCGCGAACCCTTCATCTTCAGTTCCTTCAGTGCCAACGAAATAGCTCAGGGCCTCATCAAAAGTCTCTCGAAATTGGTCCTCTGTCGCCAAAGTTGGCTTGAACATGACGTTCGCGACTCCATACGCGTAGTAGGTATCAATGTGCTGAGACGCTTTAGCTATAAAATTGCCACCCTCATCGTGAGTTGCTGCAATTGCTACTATACCCTCGCCCCAAGCGGTTTGAGCTTGAATCACATCTTGCGGAGAGATTGTTTCAGCATTGGCCGCACCAAGCATTAGAGCCGAGCCTGTTGCTACAATAAGTGCATGTTGCAGTTTCATGTTTCTTCTATCTTCCTTTTACAGAGCGTGAACTAAATGGACAGCGCGTCCTGACCCGAAGGAACGGCAATTCGCCGTCCTTACACGTGCCGACAATGGTCTTGGTCGAATTAGGCCAACACTTGGCCAGCGGCTAAGATGGCTCTATAGAATGGAGTGATTTGAATCCTGATCAGGCCTGCCTAGAGCGAAGCAGCCCAATCTTGCCTTTAGGCGATTACGGCAGGTTTGGTCAGGAAGCCTCTCCACACAGAGACACCGCTACAGCTTTGCCTTCTTGTTGCCGCCCAGTCTCATAATAACACCGTGCGCGAATATAGCGCCGTATTCGAAAGTCCTGATCCTGTTCGGAGAGAACAAAGGTAGAAGACATCGAGGCCTCCAACTGGTCCAGCGCTTCCAGAGCACTTGAATAATCAGCGTGCAGAAAAAGAAGGATCACCCTGCTAGTGCGGATGTCCAATTCATTGTCACCCAGTGCCATCAATCCCTCAATGACGCCAATCGCGCGATCGAGATGGCCATGGCGCGCCAGCACGAAGACCAACAACACCATATAGTCTCTTTGTATACGTGGCAGTGTCTCGGCCTTCGTGATTTGTTTCACGGCTGCTAACCTTTCATGAGTGACGCCAGCGCGGTTCGAACCTCACCATCAAACTGCATTTCTTGCGCCAAAATATCGGCGGCCTTTTGCAATGCGTCACGGGTAGAGCCTGTGGCGTTTGCAGTCGCCGCCCTCAGAACTTGCTGTGCAGCCTCGCGAGAACCTGACAAGATGCTGGGTTCCAACAACTCCGGGTCGAGTGAAGCCGGCTGAAGCAGGTCCGGCAGCTTTTGGTCCAGCGACGTCCGACGAAGG